TGCTAGGAGAACAAAAAGAGGCCAAGTTTGTCTTCAGCTCATAAAACAGGGGTATAAGTAGCATATAACTTTTTAAAAAGTAGTGTGCTGTGATGTTTGTGCTCTGACTGAATTTTGGTGAAGCCAGGCACTTTTTTCAGAGAAATTTTTCCCCTTTAGCGTGTGTTTGAATTAGGGAGCACCTGCATTCCTTCACAGGGAATCAGGCTGGTTCCATTAGAATCTCGATAGGAGTAGTTTAAAACCCTAAAACTTTTTAAAAGGTTTCCAAGCCACATCTCAAGGACAGTCTTTAAATATAGTCAGGGTGAGTGTAGGAATTCACTAGTTCTAAAAAACAAACCCAGAAAAAACTAAAGCAAGGCTTTCATTAGCTAGTTAATTATTGCGGTCTTGAGACCAACGTACAGCGTAAGCATAAAACAGTCTGAAGCAAGGCTAGGTCTACTGAAAGAAACAAAAACCTAGTTTTGGGGTGGAAGGGTTTATAAAAAGGTTTGAGGCTGCTTTAGGGTCAGGTAAGTGCCTAATACCCTCCCCACAAGTTAGGCTGAGTTTGGCCAGGGGCACCATGAGCAACAGGAAGGGAACACAGAGGGGCCCTGGGGGCAAGGCTAAGGAGAAGACTAGAGGGATGGAGGAGAGGGGGAGAGCCTCACTTTCCCCCCTACCTCAGCGCAGGACCACAGCAGAGCATTCTGGCACCACTCCGACCTCTGGCCAGAGTGGTGCTATGAAGATGCCATGCCTGGTTCTCTTCCCTGTTAAAAAGGATGCTCCTGGGGTGGCCCCAGCAGAGGTGCCTGCAGGTGCTGGCACTGGACAGGGGTCTGCTGCTCAGGCAGTCCCTCCTCAAGTTGTTGCTGCTGAGGCTCAGTGGCAGGAGGAGGAGCAGCCAGAGCTGTCAAGGATGCTTTGGGGTTGGGTTCTGCGGAGAATCCCAATCTGGACACTGTGACTTGTGATTTCCAGCATCTCCTCCAGAAATGCCGGTACACTGTGAGTTACTTCTCTCGCAGTACGAAGGACATCTATCTGCTGCACGAGAATCAGGCGCTGACAGGTGTGCCAGAGCACCGCCTGTTGGGCGACGTCATCACTCGCTGGAACTCCACCTGTGTCATGCTTGAACGCTTGGTGGAGCAGAAGAGTGCCCTGATTGCCCTGATCTCTGACACCAGGGTCATTCGGGAAGAGAGCCGGCTCAACCGGGAGGACTGGTTGACCATCTCTCAGACTGTGATAGTTCTTAGGCCCTTTAAGAGCTACACAGAGATGCTCTCGTCTGATACGACAAGTCTGGTTCTCGCCATTCCCATGGTCCACATGGCCCGTGAAGACTTGGCCTCGTTTCTGGAGCCAGTTGCAGGACATGCAGACATGGTTCCAGCAGTGTGCATGCTGGTGAGCAGGCTGCACAGCGGACGCTTTTGGTCTAGCCTCCAGCAGAAGTCCTGCATGATGTGACCCGCACATCAAGGGCAGGATCACCAAGCAGGCCAACAAGTTCATTCAATGGCGAGACAAGCTCTCCTGGCAAGTTGAGCGCATGCAGGCCAAGAGGGTCACGTTGCCACAAGCTCAAATGCTGTTCATCCTCCATCTCCCCTGCTAGGCAGCATCCCCCCCATGGCTCCTGCCATGACGACTGTTGAGATGGCAGTCATCGGGCAGATCTTTGGCCCCTCTCCCAGGAGCTGCAGGTGCATGAGAGAGGACACAGAGGCTGTGATGGTGAGGGACTACTTTGCAGAGCCCTACGAGTCGCAGACAACCTGTCCACTGAGCTACTGGGCCATAAAGGAGGCGGTCTGGCCAGACCTCTCTGCTGTGGCCCAGAAGCTCCTTTCATGCCCTCCGACAAGCGTGCAGAGTGAGCGCGTTTTTCCCCATGTGGGCGACATTATCTGCTCGCATTGCTCACACCTGTTCCCCTGGTCAGTTGAGCAGTTGTGGTCTTCCTGAAGGTCAACTTGCCACTGTTTGGTTTCCGGGTCCTAGACTTTGAGAGTGATTGAAGTGAGTACGCATACTTGTGCCTGCATCCCCTCTTGGTCTGTGCTGGGAAGTTGGGTTACATGGCTCTTCCCATGATTAAAACTAGAGAAGCTAGAGAGAAGTAGCGGCCAGGGCCATTACCATTTTGATTGGCACAGAAATGCCCCACCAATCTCCCCACTTCCATCCACCTACCTTCACAGGGTGTCTGTTGTGGGGAGGGGAAGGGAAAGGAGTTTGTAAGCCGCTCTGAGACACCTTTGGGTAGTGAAGGGCGGGGTATAAATCCAATCTCTTCTCTTCTTCTTCTAGATAAAATTTGGCTATCTTCCAATGATAAGTTGATTCAAAAGATATATAAGCTATTGTTGGAGAATTATATGCAGGACGAAACTGTAAAACCCTCTATGGTAAAGTGGATGCAAGATATGGGATATAATGTTGACATTGACAAATGGGCTAAAATATGGGAAATAATGGGACTCCTTAGATCAACATCGCTTAAAGAAAACATATATAAAATGTTTCACAGGTGGTACTGATCACCTGATAGAATCGCCAAATGTTCAAATATGGTTTCTAAGGACTGCTGGAAAAGCAAGAACAACATAGGATCCTTCTTCCATATGTGGTGGAAATGTGAAAAAATACAAAAATTTTGGAAATCTGTAAAAATGATAATATCAGAGATATTTAATATTAACCTTAACTTATTACCAGAAATATATTTATTAAATATAATCCCAGACTCTTATGAGCCAGAAGATAGGTATTTGTTACTTTATAGTCTAACATCATCAAGAATATCATTAGCTCGTTATTGAAAAATGAAAAATTACCCTCTAGACAAGAAATAGCCTTGAAACTGCTAGACACTGCTGAAATGGACAAATTAACAATATTATTACATGGGAAAGATGAAGCCTTATTTCAGAACAGATGGTTGTGTGTATAAATGGTGGGAAAAGAATTATATGTAAATGACTTTGAAATTATAAGGAAAGTTTTAAATATATGGTTGTACAACATGATAAAACCTCAAAATAAAGTATTATAAAAAATTGTTCTCCATTTGAACATGGTAGAGTAGGGTACATGCCAAGCAGCTAGAAACCAGCAGAACCCACAGGAGCACCACAAATAATGAATGTAAATGAATATTGTTTATTGAAAAATAATTTTCTTTTGCAGGGGTGAGATGGGAAAGGGAGGGAGAGCCTGTGATGAAGGGCAGCTGCCGCACATAGGCTAAGCCTCCTCCACTGAGGCAGGCAGTGATGGCTGGTGTTGGTGTACTGCTGCAAGAGAGGAGGATCAGTGGACAGTGGACAGATAGACACTACCCCCTCCCTCTCACTTTCTGTGGCATTAGTGGGCAGGGCTTCTTGTTGTGGTGATTACTAACTTGCACAGGTTCTGCCCCCTCAGGTTATGCTGCAGAGATTCTCCTATTTGACCTGAGTTCTGTTGGGTTTGGCACTGACTGGCACAGTGGCACAGGTTCTGGGGGCCACATTGCACTGGTTCTGCTGCTGCTGGCTTGGCAAACATGCTCCTTCAGTTAATGCTGCAGAGATTCTCCTATTTGACCTGAGTTCTGTTGGGTTTGGCACTGACTGGCACAGTGGCACAGGTTCTGGGGGCCACATTGCACTGGTTCTGCTGCTGCTGGCTTGGCAAACATGCTCCTTCAGTTAATGCTGCAGAGATTCTCCTATTTGACCTGAGTTCTGTTGGGTTTGGCACTGACTGGCACAGTGGCACAGATTCTGGGGGGCCACATTGTGTCAGCTCGCTGTCATAAAGGCTGGTGTGGAGGGGGAAGGGATTCCTTGGAATGTAACTTTCACTTTCTTGCTGTCTGGGTGATGCCCCTTATCTGTATGGTTTATATGTATGACTTTGGTTCCTAGCTGTAACATCATCCTCTGGGAACAAGGGGTTTAGATTCTGGCAGGCCCCCCTTCTTACCTTGATTGGCTCTCTGCCGCCTGGTGCCCTTCTTTGAACCCTGTATATCTGTCTACCCCGCGCTTTTTTAATTTAGTCTTCTTCAGATCCTAAAGTAGTGACGTTCTGCCAATACTGATCAATAAACTTTCCTTCAAAAGAAGCAAGTCGTTGATTCTGATTGTTGCAGGAGTCTGACACATTGCGCAGATTCTGCTGTTGGCCTGGCTGGCAAACATGCTCCCTCAGTTTATGCTGCAGAGATTCATTGATTTGAACTGAGTCCAGTTGGGTTTGGACACTGACTGGCACAGTGGCACTGGTTCTCGGGGGCACATTGCACAGGTTCTGCTGCTGGCCTGACAAACATGCCCCCTCACACCACCACCACACCTCACTTACTTTCTTACAGAGATTCTTGGAGAGACACTGTCTGCTGCCTGCCTTTTTTCCATCCCCATAGAAAACAATGGAGAATTGGAGGCACCCTCTTTGGATGCCCCTGGAATTGGACCCCCTGGTCCAATATTTTCAAATCTTTGTGAGTCTTTTGGGGAGAGGCTCCAGCAGCTACAGTCCAAATTTGGTGCCTCTACCTCAAATCCCCTCCCCCCAACCCCCTGAAAACGTGTTAGAAGATTTTTGCCATTGACTACAATGGCCCCATAGGATATAATGGACCCAACGTTTTTTGGATATCCAAAAAATTTCAGGTATCTATACAATACCAGTATTGGTATTTGTTTTGTTTTTTTCAGATTTCCCGAAAAAATTTGGGCTCAATATATCCGAATCCGGGGGGGAAAACCATTTTTTTTCCTGCACACCCCTACTGCACAGGATTCCATACTTAGTGCTCCACACTATTCAGTCCACTGGAGTTTCTTACTCTCAAGTAAACTTGCCCAGGCTCATGCTGTAAATTCCTCTGAGTTTAAAAAGACTAGCTCCCAAATAAGTAGGCACAGACTTGTAGTAGCCTCATGTGCCTCTCATATCCCATCCTCCACCACTATTCTTTCCTCCCTTACCCCAAATAGATTAGCTCTTACTTCAAATACAAACATGTGCCTCCCAGCTGGAACTGGTCCCACTAGCACAGAGTCAAGAACTTGGTCATACTCTTCACTCTCAGCCGAGCCCACATAAATGATCTTCCACTCCAAGTCTGAAATAATAGAGAAGAAATCAGCAATAATATCGACACCACAACCACAGAGCCTTAATACCCTCCTACGCAAAGCCATTACATTACAAACCAGTGAATTAGTATTAATGTTTCAAAAACATGCATCTGTTCAAGAGTCAGACTGAGGATTTCATTCACCAAGCAAGCCAAGATTACACCAATAACTCTATTCTGCTTCCCAATATGTCACTAGCAAACTTTTCAGAACAGTCTCATGTCTGTTCAAGTATTGAAGATACCCCTGGAAAACAACAGGCCGAATGCTATTGTAATATTCTCAGAACACTGAAGCCAGCTCAGCAACCCCTTCAATGCAGTCAGTTTGGATCTTTCTTTTGGGTAAAACCCTAAAATTTGCAGCAAAAACCAGCTGTGGAAAGCAGCCATAATCACAACAAGCTTTCCCCACCAGAGAGCACGGTGCAGCTACTTGTATACTGTTTCCATTTTTAAACGAGCTGAGGAGGAACATTTAATGAATAAACAAACATCTGGTGTTTAAAAAACTAGTCAGTTTGCTTTGCTGGCCGGAGGATGGACAGACACCAAAGGTAACTCAGATTTTTATTTGGTAGATGTACATCTAAAAGCAGGCTTATACCATGTGTGAAGGATATACTCTATCTTTAAATCTATGTCCCTCTCTTTTATCTTTCTGACTTTAAAAAATGATCCAAAAATAGTTGGCAATTTGCTACAAAGGATCACTCCTGCAGCAAAGAAGGTTAACAAGCTCTTCCATGTGACATAGTAAACCTAATTACAAGAACTTGCATTCCAAAACCAATAACTGGAAACTTCCCTCTGCTGTCTTGGCATTGTGCGAAAGAGTTCTTCTGTTAGAAAATCTGAAAAGGCAGCTAGTTCCAGGTTATAGCTTACTCACTAATCACTTTAACATTGCAGGTATTACTTTGCATGGAGATAGGTCATAAGAAATTATTAACTTGACTAATACTTCCTTTTAAGCAATGCCTAGCTAGATCTCAGATGTGGTGCATGTGTGTGTGGGAGGGGAAGAGTTAATACCAAAAGTTCAATTCCAGGTTATGCACCCCCTGAAAAAGATTCAGGCCCTTCTCTGATGGGAGGGCAACACTGACAGTTGATCTGAAGCATACCACTGCAAAGAGGATTCCAGATTCTGTTAAAATAATGGAATTTAATTTCTACCTTTATGGCTGTCCTTTATGAGATCTTGGAAGTCTACAGGGCAGCAAATCCCAGCAGTACTTAGTCTGTGGGTGGCACTGTTCTGGGAGAGAACCACACAACTCTAATCTCCTCAGATTTAAAGGGGGGGAGCAGAGAATACAAATATACTAAATAGATAAACAAGTATTTGTTTAATTAAGCACCTTAGCAAAAATAAGTAATATCTGAAGATACTCAAGGTGTGAAATTACTTATTTTGGAGTCCTGCATCCCATAACTATTCAAACAGTACAGGAAGAAACATAGCTGCTACCCCCAAAAAGACCCCCTACGAACTAATACCCCTCCCTCCATCTCCTGCGAGCAATCCTGACTGGGGGGGGGGGTCGTGACAAAATTCCCTGAGAGATAGGACGGAGACAATAAAACAAAGGCCAGCAGAGAGGACTAGCAGGACCCTAGGATTCATCAGGTGATTTAAACCTTACAGCATCATACCCCACAGCTACGAGCATCTAGGTCAGCGAGTGGCTCCCCACAGCTAGGCTATCTAGAGGCCAGAACAGGTCTTCTTAGCCAAAAACACATACGGCCTTAAGCCCGGGCTAAGTTAAACGGAGACCTCGTGGGACCACACAACTCTCTCTCTCCCGCCCCATGTAGCCCGCTAAAGGATCTGGCAAGGTATGAAGGCGCCCTGCAAGCTTTTGTCGGTGGTAACTGGAGGCAGCTGGTTTGATGGGTAGAACCCTACCTGGCCATTCTAGTGGGAAGGACAGGACGGCGTCCTCCCTCCCCCCCGACTTACCGTGCGGCAAAGCCTCTCCGCACTCGAACTGCACCTGGAAACGTAGCGGGTGGCTAAAGGGGCTCGGGTTTTCCAGCACCAAAACGCCCAGCACCGACACCCGCGCCATGACAGATTCCCCTCCCCACTCCTCTTTTCTCTAGCACTCTAACAGCCCCCGGCCACACTAAACCCGCTCCGCGCGCAGCCAGTTTAACGACACAGCAGCGCCGCGGCCAATCACTGCGCGGTAATACGTGCGCCTCCGCCAATCCCTACACTTCGCGCCTGAGCTCCCCCGCCCATTCCACACGACAGGCCACACCTTCTCCCTTCCCCTACCAATCTGCCTTTCCCATTTGGTCCCTGGCGGGAGCTTAATCTAAACAATCGTCGCTCGCCTACGCTTTCCTCCTTCCGCCTCTCCTTACTCCGCCTCCAATCAGCACGCGCCTTGCTTGTTCCCTTCAGCGCGCTAAAAGGCGGTTGGCTAACTGGTACTTTCTGGATAGCCAAAGAAACCAATCCAAACAGTTGGTGGAATAGACGCAAGGGAAACCAGGGAAATTATTTGCAAATTCTGGAGGATGCATGCAGCGGATTGAATTTGGGTGCGACTCCGGAGTGGTGGTTTAAAGATTGAAAGCTATGTAGGTGTGCTTTAGAGTTCTGTGGAACCAAGGTGTGTGTAATAGTCAGTGATAATCTCCCTAACCGGAGCAAATGTGCTCTTGCGTAGATCTCTTGCAGGAAGTTAACAAGTAGCGGCCGTGGTATGTTTACAGGGAGCCTGTAATAAGCAAAGCAGCAGAGGTCATCTGGCTGTTTTGGTAGCAGAGTAGATAAACTCCGAGAGCCTTGACTGTCCGGATAATCAGCAAGACCGTCTGCCGCTGATCTGCACTGTCCATATCGCCTCTCAGGGGGCTTCTGCCTGACCCTTTCATGCCCCCTCCTGCTGTCATATCTAAAGACTGAGAGACTCCTGTATCAGGTCTAGTTCCCAACCTCCAGGAGATCTGTCCGCATTATAAATTCAGATTACAGGTCTACTGAAGAAAATGGCTGCTTTCAAGGGTGGACTCTAGCATTATATTCCATGGAAGTCCCTCACCTCTCCAAACCCTGCCTTCCCTGAGCTACATCCCCAAATCTCCAGGAGTTTCTTCATCCAGAGATGGCAATCCTAGTAGCCAGTAGGGTTGCTACCTATGATGTACATATGTGTGTATGCCTTTGTGAGCCCTCACAAACAAGTTTCTGTTTCCCCCATCAAGGCCTGAATGGGAGGAGCTTCACTTAGTTCTATTTGTGTGTATGTTGCAGTTCCAAGCATGTGTGAAACAATAAAGAAGCCTGATTCAGGTGGGTAGCCATGTTGGTCTGAAGCAGCAGAACAAAGTTGGAGTCCAGTGGCACCTTTAAGACCAACAAAATTTTATTCAAGGTATAAGCTTTTGTGTGCAAGCACACTTCTTCAGATGAGTGTGTTTGCACATGAAAGCTTACTCCTTCAGTAAAGAAGCCTATTGCTGAAGCTGCCAGAGTGTCCTGTGTGCTAACTGGATAGGTAAATTTAATACTATGCACCAGATGCCAGAGGATAGTGCGTGGTGTGCAAAAAGGTGTTTCTGGTTGGGAATAATCCTGCATTGAACAAAAATAATGGAACAGTTTGAGCCCACCATAAACTAAGCTTCACTGGGAATTCAGGAGAAAACTGGATAAAATGGGAACAGAAATTAGAACTGTACCTACAAGCTACAAAAACTGAGGATGAGCCAGAGGGTTATAAAATCACTGTAATATTGCACTATATAGGAGACAAGGCATTGGAAATATACAGTAATCTGCCTATGCAGACAAGACAGTAGCAGAAGCCCTTGCTGTATTCAGAAATGATTGTGAGCTCGGGGAAGAAACTGTGTTTTCGAATGGTTACAGTTCTGCCATCGCGGTTGTTACAATGCTCAGGGAGAAATCTCAAGACCATGCTGTCCTTGGTGCCCCTCAAATCAGTTCTGGAAGATGTTGAGGTAAAAGGGGTAATCACAACAGTGACCAAGCCAGCCACATGGGTTGTTAGCCAAATTGCCTTCTTTATTAATAAACTAGGAACAAGGCCCATTGTGAAAATAAATACAATGAGCTCTAGAAAGAGGCTCTGGGAGAGTGCCAAGGCCTTGGGCACGCAGCATCAATTTGCTGTGGTGACCTCCTCAAACCCCACCCTCTTCAGGCTCTACTCCTGGAGTTGGCAACCCCATCCCCTTCCCAGCTAACCAACCTGCC